TTTGGACGAGGTTAGAAATGTATGCATTTTTTATTAAGTTCCGTCACCAAAACTCAGGGCCTTCGTTTCCCACTGGCACTTTTTATCATGTGGAACTTTCATGCATTTTGTTTATCCTCATAAAATAATACATTGTCTCCATGAAAGCTAATTTATCGACTGTGTCAGTAGATTAGAGGTGCTACAACCCACTATGATGCAGTTGCCAATTCAACAGCACCGGGAGTACTTTCAGCCGGATTGAAATCAGGTCGATGCGAAAACGTTGCCTTGGAAAGACAATGAAGGTAGAGCTGAATGGAACGAGGGTCCCTGTAAAGTCATTTCTTGATTATGTTGACCCTACTTAGGGTTGGTTTGGTATTGCTGTGCTATGAAAAAAAAAAATTACTTCTGTTGTGCTGTGAGAATAAACAACTGTGAAATAAAGCAGCAGAGTGTTTGGTAAACTTTTTTTGTAAAAGTGCTTTTGAAAAAAAAAACAGTATTATAGTGTTTGGTAAACTTTTATATAAAACATATGTGAAAAAAAACCGAATTTTCAAAGCTGAGTTTTGCAGCTTTTTGTTTTTGACTTTTTTTCATCCAAAACTATGAAAAAAAACTGAAGCTGAATGTTTACCAAATACAATAACAGCTCCTAGCTTTTTTCAGAATCACCTCAGTACCAAACCAGACCTTACAATATGATCAATTATTATCACAATGTGCTTGTTGATTAAGATCAAGATGCTTAATTATTATTATTGTTTTATTTTCTTGAAACAATATGTTCTAATTGTAAATTCAATAGATCCATAACTTTTTTGTCATCAGCAATGTCCAATTTTGTTGTTTCTTCTTTTCCTTTATTTTAAACTTATTCATTCAATTTTAAAAGAAGCAACCATATTTTACCTTTGTATAACAAATGCAAGAGGTTTACATAGAGGGAATGTTGAGAATCGAACCACTTACGCTACAAGTCCTTAACAATTTATGTGAGCAAATTATGATTAATGATAATATGGAGTGTGATTAACAATGATGGTAGAATACTATGTAATCAATATAAAAAATATTTATGAAACCAAATCAAAATAACCCATAATGTTTATGGATGAGAGAAAAACAAAGGCCAAATTTTTTTCATGGTCCTTGTGGTTACACGACATTTTTAATGTGCCCCTTGTGGTGAAAAAGCTTTTAATTAAGCCCTCAGTGGTGAGCCTTATTAGCAATTGACGGTCCAAATCTAAACTTTCATTAGTCTTCCGTTAAATAAACTCACATGAGTATCAATGGAGGGTTAAATTCACCATTTCAATTCAAATTACATCATATTCTATGGACATCTAGTATGAGTTAGGGTTTAACGGAAATTAGATTTCATAGAAAAAAGCTTGAATGTAAAGAGTGAAACTAAACTTGTAAAACCACGTCAATGGCTAGGAGAAGAGGTGAAAGTGAAGCCGTTTATAATTTCTTAGGTATGATTTAATTTCGTTTGGAAATCATAATACTTCTAATAAACCATTGGTTTTTTTTCAATGCCAACACGTCTTTGATCATGAGTTAGAGTCTTAGTCTTAGTCTTAGTTGAATTTTCATTCTTGTATCATATATGCCTTTCAATTTTGTCTTTAATTAGTAGAGTGGTTTGATGCACGTTATAGTTGGCTAGTACACAACCTTTCAATTTTTTTCTTAATCTTCTTTGAATTTTAATTATTTAAGTTTCTTATGCTCTTGAAGTTCATATTGCAGAGGGCAGACATGAAAATTGAATTTTCTGCATTGCCTTTCACCCATTGTCTTCAATTCTTTAATTCTGCAATGCCTTTCACTCATCTGAATGCATAACTGCAATGTCGTTCACCTGTTGTCTTTAATTCTTTAAGTTATTCTTATAAATTATCTCTCATTTTCACTTGTTTCAATTTGCTTTGTGCACTGGAATCAGATGCCAACTTTCTAACTCACAAGAAAAACAAGTGTATGTCATAACTCACCCAAAAAGAACAAGCGTATACCTAAGTCATACTAGATGTCTATAGAATAAGATATAATTTGGATTGAAATGACTGTATTTGACCAATCCATGTGAGAGTCACATGAGTGTTTTTAACGAAAGACTAATGGAAGTTTGGATTTGGACATCAATTGCTAACAGGGCTCACCACGGGAGTTTAATTAACAACCTTTTCATCACAAGGATAACATTGAAAGTGGTGTGTCACCACGGGACCACAAAAAAAATTTGGCCAAAAACAAATATTATTTATTCAACTACAACAAAATAACCAGTACTATTTATGAAGTGAACCACTATTTCCTGAACTACAACAAAATAACCCACACTATTTATAAAAGTGAACCAAATAACTCACATTATTTCTGGAACTACAATGTAATAATGCACACTATTTCTGAATGTAAACCACCGGAATTTGGAAAGTGATGGCTGGGACTTCAAATTGTCATAACGGGTTCATTTCTTAACCAAATTTTGCCCATAATATATCAAAACGAAGCTAGGAAAATGTAGAACAAGATTGTACATATTTGGAGTTCAAAAAGTGCCGAAGATGGCCGGAAAATGGCCTGAAATGCGACTGGTCCGTCGGAAACTGGGTAACTAGCCGGAAAACTGGACAAACTTTAAACGTCCATAACTTTGTCAATACTCAACGAAATTGAGTGATTCAAAAATGAAAATTGTACTTCTCAACGAGGCTGAAGAGAATGGTACCTGCTTGATGGCTAACTCACTGTTATTTGTTCGAAAAATGGCTCGAAAGCCTCGGAGGTCGCTCGAAACTGGGTAAACTTTAGACGTTCATAACTTCTTCCATATTCAAACGAAATTGAGTGATTCAAAAACAAAAATCATACTTCTCAACGAGAAGAAGAGAATGATACCTTTTTTTATGGCTAACTCGCCGTGGTTTGGTCAAGGAAAGCCACAGAGGTCGCCAGAGTTTGTCGTCGAGGAAGACATGCATGCATTTGCAGAGGACAACAGGGCTAAAAACACACTGGATTCAAGTTTAAACTCAACATAACGTTTATTTCCATCACACCTAAGATTGAGAGTTAGAGCTCAAAGCTCTTGGGTTCTATGGCAGGTCACTGCAATGCTCTGATGACACATGCAATTTTTATAGAATGAGATGAATGATTAAATAATTGCAACTCCATAGTACTTTACAAAATATTTTTTAAAATCTTATGAATTTATTTTAAATTTAAAACAAAGTAAAAATGTTAAACATGTGATGTAAAATGTAACGGTCCGTTCCCAATTTTACTGTCTTTATAATTTTAATAAGTGAATTTATGAAAATACCCTTTGAGGCAAATGCGTTGACTTTGTTTGACCACCTTGTCATGTCATGTAAGATCTATTTTCTTAGCGTATCCTTGTAGTATTCGTCGCTACGAACGCGTGGGCACAAGCAGAATGTAATTCGGAATTATAACAAAGATTTTATGAGGTTTTGAACATTTAGGATATTTTGGTAAGTTGATAATTAATTAGACATGTGATATTTTTGTCTAACTATTGGGTGAGTGCCACGTGGGCACCCAAAAATTCTGGAACTCTCTGCCTCCTTCCTCTTCCCTCCCGTTCTCTTTCTCTAGAAAATTCTCTCACTCTTTCTCGGCTCTCCCTTTCTTCCCGTGGAACAAACCACCGCCACCACCAAAATTTGGGCTTGTTGAACACCAAAACCACCATTATCTGCATGTCCTCACCACCATAAACTCCGTTGTGATTTTTGTTTCATTGAAAACGAACCCGAAACACGAGTTCGAAGAACAAGGTTTTGGGCCTAGACTTCTGGGCATGATTCAGACAATTTTCAGCCATCTTTTGAACTTAAAACAGGTATAAATCGATTCCTGTCATTGATTATATAAATTTTCATGTTTGGATCGTGTGATTTGATTGAAAAATGAGAAAGTTATAACGATTTAAGGTTTGCCCAATTTTTGGTGAACCCGTGACCTTCCAGACTATTTTCTGGCCAAAATACGGCGATTTAGCGTTGAAAAAGGTGCCAATCTGTTCGTCTCGTTCCACACTATGATTTTCATTTTTGAATCACTCAATTTCATTGAGTATTGACAAAGTTATGGATCTTTAAAGGTTGACCAGAAATTCTGGCGAGAACCTAGTTTTTTTCTGCGGGCAGCCGTCTTTCACACCATTTTTCGGCCACCTTTTGGACTCCAAGTAGATATAATATTGTTCTACACTTCTCTAACTTCATTTTGGTATATTATGGGTCGAATTTGGTTGAGAAATAAGTGAGATATGGAGTTCTAAAGATTGCTAGAAAATCTGCAAAATCTGCAAAATCCGACGACCGGAGAGGTTGAAGAAGAGGAATATTCAGAATATTCCTTGCGTTGACAGTTGATTTTTGTTGATTCTTTTCGGGTTTTGACCCAGGATCTAACTTAGGATAATTCAACGTTCTAAAACCATTTTTGACGTCCGTTTAGTGAAATTCTAATGTTTTAATGTAGTTTCATAGTTAATCGGCTAATTGACTGCCACATGAATTTGTGAATGACGAAATTCGACCGTCGGATTGTGGTAAGATTTTAGTATGTTATTCTAGAAGTATAATGTGGATCTTTAAAAGTTACGGATCCGAAATCCGAAGTGCAGATCTTCCAGAACGAGTTACGTAGGATTATAAACCTTACCATCGATTTTTGTCGGCAAAATGATATTTTCTAGTAGTAGATGTTGACTCATATCTGAGACTTGAACCATTTACGCCACATACATTACTCCAAAATATTTTACGTATTTCAGGGTTTTTATTTTTATTTTTATACTACCCTTAAGAAAAGAAAGAAAAAATGTGGAGGGTTGTCGGCTTGGCTACCTAGCTAGCTAGCTCTTCCCTTTGCCCCTTGCAAACGTCCCCTTAATATCCTATTGGCTATAACGTCACTTCACTCTCCAATTCCTCCTTATAAATTCAGTCCTTCTCTTCTAGTCTTTTGCTCACAAAAACTAAATTAACCATATAGCAGTTAAATAATCACTTAAAAACATGGGGAGAGGAGAGTTCAAGGTGACGATGAGCAACCAAGAAGTGGTGGCAGGTGCCTTGCCACTGCAAGAGTATTGGCTACCACTCTCCAACCTTGACTTGCTTTTGCCACCTTTGGACGTGGGAGTTTTCTTTTGCTACAAAAATAAGCAAAGCATGAGCTTTGGGTCCATGGTTGGGGTTCTGAAGAAGGCCATGGCTCAAGCTCTTGTGACTTTCTACGCCTTATCCGGTGAGGTGGTACCGAACTCTGACGGGGAGCCTGAGATTCTATGCAACAACCGCGGCGTTGATTTCACCGAAGCGTTTGCAGATATTGAGCTTAAGGAGCTCAACTTTTATGACCCTGATCAGAGCATTGAGGGCAAGCTGGTGCCCAAGAAGAAGCATGGCGTCTTGGCTGTCCAGGTTTATACCTAACTATCATGTCATTTCCTGTTACATGTTTCGAACGTTTCTACTGTGTAGTTGAAATGTGCATGTATTATGGAATGTAATTATGAATATGAACTTGTAACACGTAAAATATTTTAAAGGAACAGTACCTGTCACATTGATCTACAATGCACTCACCAAGTTTTTAACTCACCAATTTTCTTTTCCTAAGTACGGATGATTCGCTTTGACAAAATATTTCCAACACCACGCGAGAAGGACAATTTTTTTAAGAGTAGTGCAATCAACACACCTATTTTTACCTTTACACACCTCTTTCAGTTTTCAACTATTGGATCGAATGAATTGAAGATACCAATAGACAAAAATTAACAAAAGTGTATGGAAAATAAAAAATGTATGTGAATACTACGACTTCTTTTTCTAATTACTTACCGTAAAAAACTCTATGGTGCTTTGGGTTATAAAATACTCCGAGAATTGAACCCCCCCCCCCCCCAACACAAAACAACAAAAAAAAAAAAAAACATTTTTCAGTTAAAAATAATTATATTTTTTTTATTTAAAAAAGAAATTTCTAACATTATGGAAACAAATTAAATTACGAGTAATGTTATTCTTACCATCTAAATATACCATAATTTTATACCATCTTATGTGGCAATTGAGATGAACATCCACATCAGTTAAAAAAATCTCATGTCAACTAAGGTGGATATTTACGATTTTACTCAATGATTTTTATTAATAAAATAATTAAAAAATAATAATGAAACCTACTTGCTCCCGTTTTCAAGCCTCACCGATGGGGCCTCCTCCCTCTTCGCTCTCTAATTTCACCTTCCTTCACCTGACTGATTGATGGTGCTCGACCCCCTTCATCACTGCCAATTGACCGAATATCCTAATGGTGCGCCCAGTGATTGTTTTGCTCTGCCACCAAATCAAGTTTGCAATTTTAATGGTTTATGCCTTCTAGCCAAACATTGGATTTCATAGGTTTTTAATTCCAGCAACATTGAACAAAAATTTGAAAAGGATTGGATACGATATTTTCCTTTCTGTTCTACTGTTGAGGATCTTCCGAATGGAAGAAGATTTGGAAGACAACCTCTTTTACTCTTTCTTCATGGACCTTTGGTTAGCACCAAAATCTTTTCCTAATCCTCTATAGGAATGAAAATTTCATTCCATGTTATATTATCATCTGGTGGACTCAAATCAGGTGGAGAGATGAAACGTATCTAACAGGGAAGTTGAACGGGTAGGGTTTAAGCAAAAATAAATAAAAATTAAATAAATAGAAATTCCACCTAGTTTGACACCTAAGCTTCCACATCATGTGGTATTCTAAATGTGGTATAATAAGATGGTAAGAATAGCATTATTGTTAAATTACAGGTAACTGAGCTCAACTGTGGTGGTGTGGTGGTGGCATGCACATTTGATCATCGCATCGCAGATGCCTACTCAACCAACATGTTTCTGGTCTCATGGGCTGAGATGGCTCAGTCCAAATCCCTCACCATCCAACCAACTTTTCGTCGTTCCTTGCTTAACCCTCGTCGTCCTGGTCACATCGACCCCTCCCTAAACGACATGTACGTGCCCATCACGGCGTTGCCGCTTCCCAGTAAAGGCCGTACTACTGATGATCATGACCATCTCATCAGCCGCATATACTATATCACATCCGAGCAGCTTGAAAATCTCCAAGCCCTAGCTACCTCCAATGGCTATAAAAGGACCAAGCTCGAGTCCTTCTGTGCATTCTTGTGGAAAATGGTAGCAAAATGTGACACTAGTAATGATCGTGCCCAAAAACTATGTAAAATGGGCATTGTTGTTGATGGACGGACAAGATTAAGTGAGGGAAATTACCAAAACGACCATGCAACTCTAATGGCTGCATACTTTGGAAATGTGCTGTCTATTCCATTTGGTGGGGAAAATATTGAAGACCTAACAGAGAAGCCACTGAGTTGGGTAGCTAAGGAAGTCCATGATTTTTTGGAATGTGCTGTGACCAAGGAACATTTTTTGGGGTTGATAGATTGGGTTGAGGCTCATAGACCAGTGCCATACTTGACCAAAATATACGACAGTGGGAGCAATGAGGGGCCAGCATTTGTTGTGTCGTCCGGCCAACGGTTCCCCAGCTCCAAGGTGGATTTCGGGTGGGGCTCGCCTGTTTTCGGGTCGTACCATTTCCCGTGGGGAGGCAGTGCTGGGTATGTTATGGCAATGCCAAGTCCAGTTGGTAATGGTGACTGGATTGTGTACATGCACATGATGAAGGGGCAGGTGGAGTTGATGGAGAAAGAGGCTGCTCATGTGTTAAGGCCCTTGACTTTTGATTATCTTAATTAGGTAAATTTAGATATAATCAAGTAGTGTTGCCTAGCTATTTCATTATTCCTTATCAGTAATCTAGCTCTTGCTGCAATATATTGTATCTTCTTTTTATCAAAATGATGCAAGAGACTTTTGGTTTGCTTGGATATTGTTGATCCTAAATCTAAAAACTACTAAGCTACAGTGGCGCGTAGGTCGAGTAACTAATGAGTTAACTATGTCCTTCGGTTGATGCGGGGCGTGCCAACTCGTCGGCCAAGCTCAGCCAAGGAGTAAAATTTGTTGATGCTACGTTGAACGCGCTACTGACTTCTAGAATTTGCAACTGCGGCCAAGGAAGAAACACGTCTCGGCCTTCGGGTTCTCGAGCCTAAATACAAGGCTGCTAGTTCTACGAAGTTCAATATCAAATTTGGCTTTCAATGTGCCGAATGTAGTAACCTGTAACACCTCACTTCACCGTGGGGAGGCAATGCTGGGTATGTCATGCCAATGCCAAGTCCAGTTGGTAATGGTGACTGGATTGTGTACATGCACATGATGAAGGGGCAGGTGGAGTTGATGGAGAAAGAGGCTGCTCATGTGTTAAGGCCCTTGACTTTTGATTATCTTAATTAGGTAAATTTAGATATAATCAAGTAGTGTTGCCTAGCTATTTCATTATTCCTTACCAGTAATCTAGCTCTTGCTGCAATATATTGTATCTTCTTTTTATCAAAATCATGCAAAAGACTTTTAGTTTGCTTGGATGTTGTTGATCCTAAAAACTACTAAGCCTAAGTGGCGTGCAGGCCAAGTAACTAATGAGTTAACTATGTCCTTCGATTGATGCGGGGCGTGCCAACTCGTCAGCCAAGCTCAGCCGAGGAGTAAAATTTGTTGATGCTGCGTTGAACGCGCTACTGACTTCTAGATCTTGCAACTGCAGCCAAGGAAAAAACACGTCTCGACCTTCGGGTTCTTGACCCTAAATACAAGGCTGCTAGTTCTACGAAGTTCAATATCAAATTCGGCTTTCAATGTGCCGAATGTAGTAACCTGTAACACCTCACTTCGCCGAGATGGTTAATGAGATAACCTCTACCAATAAAGATTCGAAAATCCTTCTCGACCGAGACTTGGATAGATAACCAGTCAGCCTTGATGCAGTCCTGTTTATCCAAACTAAAGGTGCTCCGGGAACGGCTGATTCTACAGCAACAGTGTTGTTTATCCAAACTGAAGATGTCACCGGTTGCCTTCACAGTGCTGTTTATCCAAACTGAAGGTGTGTTAGCGAAAAAAGAAAATAAAAATCTCAAGATGTTTGAGAGGTTTACGCAGGCCAATTTCTGTGTTGAATTGAAGGGGCCCCCAAATGTTGTCTGCAACTCTATATTTATAGTAGCTATCTTTTGCTTGGCACAGCTTGATAGCTTTGTAGAGTCCAATTGTCGCTCTAACTTTGTAGAACATCACTTAACTCAAACTTGTGTCCCATCACCTTAGCCGTCCAATATCTCCAAGATATGATAAAGGCTATCTCTTAATTTTCCTTGAAAAAATTAAATATATCTTCCCACATACGTGGCCTGACCAAATGAATGCATCATATTCCAACCGAAACTTCTGTTTCTCCACTATATTGGTCCAAGTGTAACCATGCATGCATGATAATTAAAATACCATGGTTGATAGTTTTGCATTATCTGCAAAACCACCCTGATCTCATCACATCACCTCATTTTAACTAATGCAAAAGGCATATCCACATGTTGATCATCCAATATTAATTGCATCCTTGTGGTATTGTTCCACATGGTTTTGCATGTAAGATATGACTTTAATGCTGCACGGCATTTCACATAACCTCTTTTGCATTGAGCTTTAAGTGTATCACAACTCTGTACACTTTAAGGATATTTTCAAGATAATTACTATGATAAAAAAAACAATAGTAATGTTAAGAAAAATCTCTAATCATCCAACGACCTCGATTATTTGAGCCGATAGTGTAATTTTGAGTCCAAACAGATATATATGGTTAATATCAATATTAGTCATCTATGGTTGATATTAATCTCATTCCACTTCTCTTTGCAGTCCAATTTTCCATCACATTGTTAATTAATTTGTCTACCTACATTAAAGATCCCCTCTATTTAATCAAGGTAAAAATATTACTTCTAAATTATAGAAGAGTATAAGCAATTATCCATCATTCTAGGATTCATATAGCCGACCCCACTTAATGAAAAAAGGCTTTGTTGTTGTTTTGTATAAGTAATTATCTGTTGTATAAGCTAGTGGACGTCTGGGTGACTCCTTCGGGATTTTCAACGATTCGATTATGATTTCATAACGTATGAATTTAAAAGTGGTCAAATTAGTAGAGAATGGTATTGTGCTTCGTTGGTTCTTTGATATGATATATGCTGTGAATTGTGGTATCATGTTGGGAAATCATGATTTTCATGTGGGTTTGTTTTGTAGCCCTGAGTCTAGTAATTTCATGCTTGTCAAGTTCTAATGATTGAATGAGAAAATGTTATGCCTTTCAGTTTAAACGGATTGTGATATATGACAATTGTGGTGAATGGTGAACTATAAATGGCTTGATCCCTTTTCAGGGTACGTAGGCAGTCTAACGAGGAGGGTAGATGCAGCCATAAAGTTTACAAAGATTTCTATGCAATCTGAATCTTAAGTTGCGCTTGGTACATATTCCGGAGGTGAGGTATGTTAGATATATATAGATACTTGTTGACGTTACGTATCGATCCTGACCGTATGTCAGGATCGGGGCGTGACATAAAATGTACCCATATCAAGTTCAATCGAAGAAATTTACTAATGTTATTAAGCTTAATATCTGTTACTTTTGTTGTGTGGTTTTGAAGAATGTACCCAGGTTTTGGTACAATATTTTTTTGTTGATTTTGATGAATGTACCCATGTTTATATGTGTGTGTGTATATATATACATATACATACATACATACATACATATACACACAATAGTATAATTTTATATTTTAATATTTTTAACCCCACAACTTATGGATTTTTATTTAAAATCTCATTAATATAAACAACTATAAATTTCAATTTTTAATTTAAAAAATATAGTAACATACATAGAAATAATTTATTACATTAATTTCAGGGACTTCAATCAAAAATTGAAAACCAACAAGGCTTCAGTAAAAGAATATTGATAGATAGGGACTGCATCCAAAGTCTCCCTTTTTTTTTTTTTTATTTGTAAATGAGATGTCGTAGATTCTATTGATCGATGACATGATACCAATTTATTTTGTTATTCTTAGTGTAAATAAATCACTATATTAAAAATAAATAAATAAATCTTAGTTTGAACTTACATATTTGTCAAATAAATGTTTATATTGTGCTCCTAATTCTTACCACACTGTTTCATGCAAAAATCAATCAGGTATGTTGCCAAATTATAAATTATACAACTATGTTTTTTTGGTTCCAAGTGATCTTTGTCATAATTTCTCTCAAAGTTAATATGATTTTTTTTTTCTTTTACTACAAGCACAAACAATTGCTTTATTGGGGAAAAAAAATATAGAGGGGTAACTAGACAGAAAATCTAAAGAGAAACCAGCTTCTACACAGAATAAGCTAGTGAGGAAATCTGTTGGGAGGGATCGGGTGAGCCACTTTCGTACGTCTTACTAGTTTTTAGCAACTGCATGGAGAGTTTGTACGTAAAATTAGCAGCAAATGAGATAAATGGTTATGACTTGTACTACTTATCCTATCACTTTCAAGGCAAAACTTGCCGTCATACACTTTTATACCAATACCATCACGGCATCACCTTATTATATATATAGTTTTGTTCATGTTATCGTTCAGTAGTCAGGGCGGTATGACGAGCGAAGTTGTCATAAACACACTTACCAGATAATATCATGCAAGCGTGTCTAAATATATGGTTTATCAAGAAAGTTGAAGGATACGAAAATCTTGGAAAAGTGAGATTCTTATTTCATTTTATAGGTTTTAGTTTGGCCATCACAACCTATATGGATTGATTGAAAGAGGAATCTGAGCTACACGAAGGTGCCCGAAGCTGTACGTTAGTGTAACTTAGGGTATATTATTCATGCACTCAAGAAAGGTTATTAGAATAGCATCATATCAACATACCCCCTTTTTTTTATTGATTAATTTATGGGATTTGGTATGACATAAAAGTAGTTCAACCTTTACCTTATCATTAAGAAATCATTCAAGAAATAAGTACCGATCGAGTTTAACTAATTTAAGTACTAAAACCAAATAAGATAAATGGGACTTTGTGGAGGGTCTACTGAAGTAGTTCACCTATCACAGTTGGTATGACATCTGTGACATTAGAAACTAAATCACCCAAAAAACCCTACACTTAAAACACCATCTCTCCCAATTTGTCTCGGAAGATGAAGCAACATTTCCAGCTAGGGTAAAAAAATTTATAAAATAAAATAAAATAAAATAAAACCCTAAAGTTTTGTAAGGTGGTGATTGAGGGTTTGGTTGCTAATGTGGTTGAGGGAGGCCAACAGAAGGGTAAAATAAATATATATAATCTGGTTAACAACTCCTGACCGTTCACTATATTTATATACTTCACAGTTTAACTGAAACTGATGCATTATTCTTTGAAAGTACTAATAAAAAAGTTAGTGTTACTGAATTAGGTGAATAACTAACTAGTGAGGATTGAACTTAATAACTAAACGAAACTTATATTTTGATTAGAATATTTGGAGAAGAAATTAAGTAGGTTTCACTGGTACTAGTCCATGCATGCTGATCATGATTTGCTAATGGTTGTGTGATGCCAAATAGAAGAAACTTTCACTTAATAATATGCTCTTAAAAATTATGGTGGTGATGGAACAACTACACTATGACTATAGACTAATAATTTCAAATAAATAAATAATCATGCTGGTTTGGTCACACACAGAAGTGGACCATCTTACCCAATTTCATGTAGTTTGTGTATGGTTTTCTACTATTTTATTTGTTAGGAATTAAACAAGTTTTCCCCGTTCCTTGATAATGTATCATAGTTTTATCGAAGGCTTAGACTAACTTCACTACTTCAGTTTGGTCTAAAAAATGAAGACTACATTTTACTCAACTCTTCAGCACTCTGGTTAACTACTAAAACCATCACTGATGCAACTTATCAACTCGGTGACAACGTCGCCCTTAATTGGTTTTTCCTATGCAAACGAACCACGTTACTTCGACAAATAAAAATATGATCATTAAGAGAGTAATTAACCTGCCCTTGTGCGACCTGAGTAATTAATTTGTGAAGTTACCAGGCGTATTACGTTTAACTTAAGCAATGAACAATCTTACGGCCGCGATTATTGCCAACTCTTATTTTACGGTTCTAGAATACAAGCAAATACACATCAGTCACCTTCAAGCACACCCCGTCAACTCCTGTTAACTTATCCATGAACATGTAGAACACCCCCGTGAGGGGTATGAGGTCTACGAGGTGAAAGACCCTAACTGCCACCGAATGGTTTTTCTTCACGCATGCTTACACTTGCATTGTCAACTAGTCCGATCTTTTGTATCACCACGTTATTTAGGGCAAGCTAACTTTAGCTAGATGTCAGAGACTAATCTGAGGTATTTGGCAGTGTAGTATAACCAGGTATCATTCATAAAGGAATGTTGTCAGGCAGGAAGAGGTACCGGAAGCGTGAGTCAAATGGCAGAATCCCACAGTTGCGCGAACCAAGAAGACTTTGTCGCCTCTGTGACATGCATTGTTCAACAAAGGCAGCTTGGTGGGGTGGAAGGTAATGTGATATCCACACAGCCAAATTTGAATCATCCACAAGGCCCTTGGCAAAGCAGTGCAGCATTTTTGGCACCAACAACCTCCCCTTGCTGCTCACCCCAACTGAAGCTCGAATGAAATCACGCTGGGCTTCCTGAAGCTCTTCCCTCACATTTTTAGCAGTGTAGGTTCTTACCTGCATTTATGTACTTCATGTCAAAAAAAAATATAGCTCAACTTCTAAAAGGAAATAAAAATTAAGCTGTCCTTGAGCACATAGAAGAACTGTAGGGATTACCGCTGGCGAAGAGTACATTCCACAGCTTAAAGCAAAGGTTGCAAGTGGTTCATATGTATCAATTGCAGACTTCCGTTGCTCATCTGAGACCTTCAGTTTGTGAAGTGCAAGAAGCAAAGCCTGATATTTTTCACTACAATTGTCAGTCAGGGAATGAAGTATATTAAAGGACTAGAGTTAAAATTAATTGATAGCAAACATTAGGCAAAGTTCATACAATTTGTGGTCTATGGAGTGGCGGTTTCATCTTCAGAATTACATACTCAATGGCAGCTGCACTGAAAGAATGTTCGCCAACTGTGTAAGCCGCCTGCGAAAGTACAACACCAATCAATACATAATAATTCTTTGTTGAGTAGCAAATCCAGTGGCATCGCCAAATTGGCATTGTTTTTCCAATGTCATTAGAAATGCATATTATAGAGAGAATTATCAGAGAAATCAGACCTTTTGCATCAAAGAGAAGAGCTTCAAGTCACTTCTAGGGACTCCATAAGCCAAGTAAGCCTGTTCACAGTAAGAGATATTAAACTCCATAACTTCTATATGCATGCTCTGCAAAGTTCACCAATGCGACATATAATACACGGTAAATGAAGGAAACTTACATGCATGATCAGTGCATTGTACAAGTTAATCCAGAAAGCAAGCTTCTCATTGTAACTCAAATGGATAGGGTTTACTTTCGCCAGTTGCTCCACAAGTACTCTGTTATAAGTTTGGAAAGAAAAGCATAAACCTTTCTGATTAGCTTTATATTCAAACAACAAATTTAGCCATTCCAAGATAACGTTAAGAATTCATAAAGTTTCCTCATTAAGACTTGACCCAATCGAAGGGAAACAATAAAGTAAAAGGCATGATGAGTTAAAGGTAGAACCAGCAACTTTCCTGGAAGTATTTTTAATTCAGGACCATTTGAAGTATATTTCATGTTTTTCCACACTATAATTTCTTGATGCATAACATCAATTAATGTTTGCCTAAACAAGACAAGAAGAATTCAAAACAAAAGTATTACCTGAATCTCCTCAACGCACCTGCAGCATATTCTAATTGCTTCTTCCCAACTGACATCCAAGAAACTTCAGTCGCTAATCCATAGTTCCCAATCTCCGCCCAACTCAGTTTTCCTCGAACTTTGTAGGGATCACAGGCATTCTCTGAGCTAATACTTCAGAGTTACTATGTATGTCAACCTGTGGGCTCTGCACCCATGATGAAATCACCGACCGTTCCGATGATGACCACCAAGAGGAATTGGAAAGATGTCCGCGTGGTGACATAGATGAGCATTGGCTCTCTTGCACTGAAGATTTTGACGTTGTAGCTGAATCAGCCAAAGATATGAATATATTTTTCATGCATCTCACCATCTCCTCTGACAGTTGATTTGGATGATCCCAGAGGCCCTTGGGGCGCATCCCCTTAGGAAGCCTCCTGAGCTCAGCAGGTTGAAAAGATTCAGAATCCATCTTCCTCAACATTTTCATATCATGGCAATTTGCAATGGAGTCCACTGCATTCTGATAATAAGAATCACAAAAAGAATGTTATCCCATGGGTTACCACTTAAACTTGCTGAACATTACTCAACACATAATCAATCGAGAGAGAGAGAGAGAGAGAGAGAGAAAGAGAGCAATATCCAAGCATGAAAAACTAACAGATACCTCAGTTACCGACTGTAAAGATGTTTTGCCACTAGGTTCTGATTGTTGATCCTTCGGCTCCTCACATGAGTCGTCTTCAGAGGAATGATGTATTTTACAATTGGACTGCTCTGAAGTCCTCAAAGAAGATGAAATCTGGTTGAAGTTAAAATAAGTTAAAATACACTACAAGGAATTTGGTAAAGACGATATGTTATGACATCACTTCTTACTGCTGGTTATCAGCTGCCTGAAACAAAGAGCTGCTAACGGGTCTTCGATCACCCAGAAATATTTTATAGATGAAAAAAAATTTCTGATGCTTAAAATAACTCTACCTTTTACTATTTGATATCATTTAGAACAAAATCTATAAAATAAAAACTCTTTCAATGCATTGACATCAGCAACATTTTCAGTTTTCACTCTACTTCTTTCAAGACACTAAAAAAATACTAGAACAATTTAGAAGACATCAAAAGAAAACGAAGGCATGGAAGAATGATAATAGACAACATACCGGTAGTTTCACAATGTCAGAGGAGTTAGGAGACATTGACTGAGGAGATGGATGTCTCAGACGATATTCTGCAAGCCTTCGTTCATTTCTTTCTTGACTAAGTTGGAATTGCAAAGCAACCAACTCCTGTTCGAGTTTTGACACTGTAACCTCCAGTGCAGAAATATTGCTTAGCAGCTCTTGAGCCTGTTCAAATGGGACAGAAGAAGACTAGTTCACTACCTAAAATCCCAATCTGAAACCCGGATGATCCGTCAATATGGTAGCAGGGATGGAATATGGAAAAGAATAGTTAAGGAAAGTGTTCAAACTCAAGGTAAAACAAACACAAGGTTCAACTTAATGGATTAAAATCTTTCAAAGATTTGGTGTAAAATCATACATGCTCAAAATCTGTGCCATTGTATGGAATATGAGTTTGATGTTGCCTCTTTCCAATACACTGTACTTTTGGGACAAGCTTGGGGACCTTATATAACGTTTCAGAGCCATGTCTAGGCAGCAGACAAATCTATAGTATGTAGGATAAAGGAAACATACATAGTTAGGGAGGCACAACGCACTGGAAAATTTAACAGTGTTTTTCTCAATCGCATTTTGCAGAATAGCATGTAGCTCTAGTTCTTCTCGCAGCTGCAGTTGCAACTGTTGTACCTATAGTAGAAGCACTTCCATAGGTTAATTATAATTTGTGACTATAACAAAGATATCGTTAAATAAGCATACATATGACACTGTTGGAAGAGAATCGAACAATGAGATGCCGCCTAGCATGTCCCGGGTGTAATGCGTTCAGAAATTTACTGGAACTATAACATGTTATCTAGCTTAACCCAAACTAGGAATTTAGCAAGATTTGAACAGATGCTATCTACTGCAGTAAAATTAAAAATCCCTCGAGACCAAAACACACATTGAGAAGGGATGACGTAGCATCCATGAAATGACGAGCAAATTTACAGCACGCTGTCTGGTTGATAATGTTATACAATTGGCTGCCAAGTCACAAATCATATTGAAAGTGAAAAGCAAATTTATTAGTACAATATATAACTTTAAGTGGCGAATCCCCACCACTCCAAAATCAGCCCAGAACTTTTATAGTTGCTTGTTGCTTTCAGGTAGGAAGGAAACTTACATCCTGTTCAAGCTGGAATCTGTAAGGGTAAGTATCACTGCTTTTAGTGCACGACCCAAATCTTCCAATACCTTCATCGAGATTGGTCACCTAAACGTTAAACAAATTATCAAAATTAGCATCAGTAGGAAGTGTGACTTAAAACCACATAAGCAACAGACAGTAATCTCTATAACAAATAATGTCCAATAAAATGCTATGTAGTTATTAATTTGAACCACATTAACCAGAATTCCAAACAACGAACACCTAGACTGATCTTTGACCCGAATGAATTCCTAAATTGTAAAGATTGCGATTATACCAAAATCCTAAAAGTCAGGATTTGAAATATTACAAAGCTAACCCGGGACCGTTATCAATCTTAAAGAATGGGAACTGTCATGTAGGAAATAATGAACTTTGTACCTAACATCATAATCCATGTGGTTCCAAAATGCAAAAGATCTGAAGGAATTTGTAATTAAACTCGCTTCGAAATGGTTCCCATGTCCTTTCGTTACTAACATAATTTTTAACTTTCAATTCACAGATTTCGACCATGATTATGAAGCAACTGACATCGACCATGGAGCAGAAGGAGAGAATGGAAGAAGGAGGGGGAATCTAATCTAACAGAACAAATTCGTTTTCGAGAAGGCCTGAATTTGCTGAAACACAAATCAAGTTTATGCCCACAAGCTCTTACCTGTGAAAATGAGCTCTCACTCTGAAGTTGTTTTGCAGCATACGACTGAATTTCCGAATGACTAGTGATGCCAGAATGCGAATACTTACAAGGTGAAACGTTTCTGTAATTTGCAATCGAACAAAACAAGAAATCATTATCAATGAAATATCTTATAATATCCACTCCACAATGAAATATCAAAGAACATGAATGCACACTCACTGGCTCAAGGCAGTTTGCAGAAACGGTGAGTCACACATCTTGCGATCATGGAGTTTGGCTTTCACCGCATAAACACACATCCAGCGATCACCCAAAACAGCTCAGCTTCCGGTACTAGAAGCTACGCCTTCCCACACCTACAAACAAGCATCACAACATCCTGCAAATCCCACTTAAAATGTAAAACACCTGTCTTTTTTTCCAATTTTCAATGAACAGTTGTTGGATGTTTTCGAGAAGACAATCTTAGTATATCTCAGAACCAAGCCTAAGTGAGATGTATAACTAGAAACACATGGTACTGTGCACCTGTGAGCCATATGGGGACAAATAAACTCATGAATGCTACAGCTACCAGTCATTTTCAACACAACCATACAAACATTATCATGACCAGAATCGTTAACCCGAAATTCGGTTTCGAATTAAGACACGACAACCTCAAATCATTGTAATAATAAAAAGGGAAATCTGGCAAACCACCTTGTGCACTTCCATTACAGCAATCAATTACAAATTTACAGTTCACATCCCACGAAATTCAGGGCTTCCAAAAAAAGCAGTAAATTTGGAAAATCATGAGGATATGATATTCTACAAAAAGCAAAAGGCAGAATGATTCGGTTCGATCATTAGAGTAAAGGGTTTTTTGCACACAAGGAGGTAGGACACTAAAATGCTAAAGAACAAAAGTGGGGGCACTTCCTAAACCCTCGTGGTAGTGGGAGTCAAAAGTAGTTACATTGTGAGTTAATAGGACAGCAATCATCAAACCTACCCTCTGAAAGTCTTCCAAAGGTCTTTTGGAGAGAGAAAATGGTTGCTTTTTACCCCATATTACATTCCTTTCCATAAAATTAAACAAAAAAACTTATTTTTGATAGATGCCCCTAATGGGAGAATAAATTTCACTGTGATATCTCAAACCAATAACGCGAGAGCCTCAATGAGACTCCACTTAAACAATAATCCGACTGAGATTCAAAAGTGCAGGTCAAAAGAAGGCAAAGGGGTTTGCTTTGCACTGAAAAAGCTTCCAATCTAAGCGACATGATGAACTAAATTACTCAAAGAAACAGGTAGCGGAAGATACAATTCCAGAGGACGGATCTCAGTGGTCCCCCATTTGCCCAAAAGACCCTTCCTTTCAATTTTTCACACTGATCACAATCCGACCCATAAAAAATTAAAAGATCCCTACTTTTCTGAGTGCTCAGAAAGATTATAAGCACAACAAAATAAGAACATGCAGGTACAAAATTGAAATCAAAAACCAAAAAATAGAACCAGAAATTAAAGGGGGTTGTTGGTTGTTACTTGTTAGCTCAACAAATAAGTAGAAAAGCAGAAAGATGCATACATATTAGCTAGAGCAAGATGTCAACAGTTGACCCAAATTTCCTGCTGCTGAAAAGACCCCAACTTTCAACTCAAAATTCTTCTCCTTGTTCTCTCTCTCTCTCTCTCGAACTTTAATCAATTCTCCCTCCTGAATTCAAATCTTTGTCCACCTCAAAAGTGACAAAGATGCGGCTGGGCAGATTAAGACTTGATAAGTAACAAGGATTTTGTGCAAGTATAAATACAAAATGTTTGGAGAACACAGAACAATACTTCCAAACAGCAAAACACTAAAATAGTACCTGCCCTTTGACTAAACGGTGACAATACTTCAATTAAATAAATGGGGAAATGGGCTTCTTGTCTCTTGTTTGTTATTGTTCTTCTGTCTGCTTATGCACAGAGCTTAGTGAGGCCAAAGATTGATACTGTGTTTAAATTTCATCTTGCGAAAAATTGCTTTTCTCATAAGTGCTTTTGAAATTTGAAATTACGAGGAGAAACCCAGTTGCCAGAAAACCATGCTGATTATGTTATATGGGTACGTGGGCTGTTTGTGTTGAGTGAAATCGCATCCTCCATGTATCTGGAGATGTGTGAAGTAAAAGCATTTATTTGATACTTAATTGCAGTAACAGACTCAGAGAGTCACAGTTTCCACGGCACCAAGAATATAATAAAGGAAAGGCATGGGCATTATGGGTAATTCATAATAAGCATTTATTCGACTTGGGGTTATTCTGACTTTTAACTAATAGCCCCAAAAAATTATTAATTATGACTTCACCGCCCGGTTAATAAAATTTAGAAAAAAATGTATGTGCATTGTCACTTAGTACGACAATTTAGTAATATTTTTTATTTATTTGTAAAGTAAAAAGTTTTATGTTTAATTTTTATCAGACGAATTTGAATTATATTATTGTTAGTCTATTGTAAAGTTTTAGCTCACTCTTTCAAGCCTTGTAAACATATCGTTTATTTAAAAATAAAATGTACGTTTATCATTTCCTTTGATCTTTACCATTACTAAAATCAACTAGGTTTTTAATCGAATCGGTCTAATTGTTTGTCGGATTAATTTACAATTTCTTGAAACTGTTAATCTGACTGAATTGGCCCACATTTGAGAAACCGATAAATCAGTTAACGAAAAGTCAAAAAACTGGCTTCAAATCTGTGTTGGCCACAATTTGGCATTTGTGTTTGTTTAGGGCATTCGGTTTGGTATCAGAACCAAAATACTAACTTTCAGTTCCACTCTTTGTAATTCAAAGAGGGTAAAGCTTTCATTGTTCCCTTCTAGGGTTTAGTATATATAAATATTTAACTTTTTGGGAGTGATGATTTCAAATTGACCTCAACTTTTTAAATATATTTTAAACTTCCTAACGTTTTTAAAATTACAACATCTATTAAATTACTAATGTTAAGCACTGTTCTAAAAATTCCCGTCTAGCGCCGTCTAACCCCCTAGGAGCTAAGCAGCTAGTCATCGTCCCGATTAATACCTAAGCGTTTGAAAATTAAGAAAAGACGCCGAGACCTATTGAGGCGCCCGTCTAGACACCTGCCTAGGTTGCAACTCAATTAAATAGAAAATAGATCATTTTCCTTTTGCATTTTATTGTTTCCAATAAATTGTAAGAGACTTATTAAACACTTGAATAAACATACATTATATGTTTGCTCCCATGTTTCATTATGTTTCAATACTTCATAATATATATGTCATTCTTTTTTCTAGTTTATGATGAAATTATATATACTTTTAAGTACAAACAAACACTTATATACACGAAATACAATAGATTTACTTAAATATATCTAGGCTCCGCCTAGGCGCTAGGTGCTAGGCCCCAACTCGCCTCCCGACTAGCACCTAGCGTTTTTTAGAACCTTGATGTTAAGTGATGATGTTATCAATGTTACGTGATGATGTCACGAGTTTTAAGTGATGTAGTGGACAAATACTGAAGTTAGTTTAACTATTGTCATCTTTGATTCAAGTTGTTGTGAATTCTGAAAAGTAAAAACCTATTAGGGGTGTTTGTTTGCCTTCTTTAGCTCTCACTGGACTGGCTTAGATTAAAAGTTAGTGCAATCCGTGTTTGTTCACTGGCGCGACTAAGTTTAATGGGACAAAGGAGGACTCGCCTCGACTAAATCCCTCACTAGGAGGTCTTAAGGCCCCCAAAAAACAACGGGATTGCTAGTCCCGTCTCCATCATCTGCCAGCAGCATCCGTGCAACCCACATGAGCAGCATCAGCCCCCCTTCTTCATGTGATCAAACCAGAAACAGTTGTCGTCGATCTCCATTATCCTGCAAACCCAGTGCCCTTTTGGCATCTGGGTTGGTGATTTGGGATCTTTTGCAACCTCTGCTCTGCTTTGCCGCTCCCATCTCCTTCTTCCCCACTTCCCCCAACCAAAAAACCCAAAAAAAAAAACATTGAACAAAAAAAAACTCAGAAAACCCAAAAAAATTGTGGGATGAGCTTGAATCAACTGATGGGATTGATGTTGAGCGCAAACCAAACCCAAAGAACATAAAATTCCTAATCTCAGACCTTCCCTATCTTTCACCTTCGAGCTAATTACACATGCACCCCACCCCAACTCCTTAATTTTCACTCTATTTTTGCTTTGTGGATTTAATTTTGAAGATGTGCAGTTGATTATGAAGTTGTGAGAGGAAGTGAAGAGGGTGAGAGAGTAGGGGAGAAAAAATTGGACGGGAAAGGAAAATGGAGGAGATGGAGAAAAAGGATGAGAGATAGTTTGACCAAGAAAAGGGAAAGAGAGAGAGAGCTGCCATGTTTTTGGGAAAAATAAAAAAGAAACAGAAATTTAATTTTTATTATTACTTTAAGTCTGAGACTACACTAAACGCTTCACTAAGTTAGTCCAGCTTAGTCTATTTTAAGTCAATCTATTATGACTTGTGGACCATGATTTTTCAATGTTGGAGTTAGGCAGATCTAAATACGAATACTTCAGAAGTCATATCATGGACTCAACAACTTCCATCACGGGCTGCAGAGACAAATCAAGTAATACCACCTTCACCATGTTCCAACTCAGTGGGCCAAGTCTACCGACTTCGTTGAGATTGACCATACTTGTTTCGTAAAATACGGAGACCTGATCCAGTATGGAATCAACTAGGTTTCCTAGAGTTCCTACAATCTAGAAATTAGCATGAGTTGCAAGTAATCACACTTCTGAGATGATGCGGTATCTACTCCTAGATATTCTCTAGAATTATCACCGTTTAATACGGATTCTATATCCTAAAAAGAGTATAAATACCCCTACATGATTAATTTTGGTAACACAATTATCGCATACTTATTCTTTTGCCTACTACTTAAATCTCATAATATTGCTTACTAACTTCACCGTCGGAACACCGATCCCGAATCCAAAGCGTGACAATCACCCCTTAAATCTTGGACTAGTAAAGGACCTAACATATTACATGTCCCTTCCTCCATTGAGCCTTTTTCTTTCTTCTTGTTCTGAAAATCACTTGGATCAAGACCAGTGATAGGAAAATAGGTCAAAGCCCAAAGAAACCAGGTCCGTTCTGTACTTTTTAACCTCATCTTTAAGAAAGGACAACTTACAATAAGATCAATTTGCTGAACCTTGACCAATCCAGGTTACTTTGAGAACTTGTTAACTCCAGCTACACCTGCTGCGTTCTGCCTCCTTTCTCTTTCAAATGCTTTTCACATACCTGCAGCCTTGAGATAATGACTAACTAGTCTTCAAATGCAAACAATGATGAACACTCTGGCCGGATTTTTTAGAATATTCTAAATATTCTATATTTTGGGATATACTACCATTAAATTTTTTTTTAAGATATAACGAATTTTAATTTCAATAAAATAGAATTTTCATTTTTCTTGTATGTTGTGGTCTTGTAGGCTTGTAGTTGAACTATTTCTCATATTGTTAATTGGTTTTATGCATGTGCTTATAAGTAGTTGGGCTAATCTCCATATTACTAATTGGTCTTATAGTAGAACATCAACTTCTTCATGATATCAGAGCAGGT